GGATAAAATAACTGGATGGCCTACCTGCCTGTCAGCCTTCCATCTGTGCACAAACTTATCTCGTGCCCTCATTGGTCATGTGCGCATTCGTGTGTGTTGGAGGAGGGGCTCTGTAAGGAAGTGGCAGATTTTTTCCAGCTGTGTATTTTCAAATTCTAGCGCACTCGAGCCGGTTTCTCCAAAATTACCTACCCCACCTTTTAAGTACAAGATCTGAGTACTTCTCCACCTGTGCATACACTCAACATGCACAGCGCTTGCACATTGGAAGCTGCAGTACAAGGAATAGCCACACACACATCATGTGGCAACGTTTTTAACCGCAATGAAGAAGACAAAAACTTGCTAAGGTCTTGCAAAAATCTAAAAATGAATTGCTTTATCAGAACCTTCAGGGGTGTCACCAATTCGATTATATATAATATGTATATAAAATGGGACATTATTTAATATACATTTTATATTTTGGTCATTGAAATCAAAAGTTTGATCAGCAATTCAGGCAGGAGGATGCTGGGAGTTAATATAATAAACAAGCCTTTAGATTATTTCAAATAGACACTGCTTCAACAATAATTTTGTATGGATAAATAAATACAACTCCCATCTTCTAGTCTAAGACAAAAAATATGATCAGCAATGAAAAGTGCAAAGGGTACATCCTGAGTTTCTTGCCTAGATGTCTAATTGATGACATTTCAGCAATGGCCTGGATCAAATAGTTTTTTTGTACATATTGAGAATCTAATTTGAGCAACGAACCCCTCTGTGCCCCCCCACAGAGGACGCCCTCATTGAGCCGTCAGTGTCACCGCGCGCCCTCCGTGGCCGAGTCCATGGCCGAGTACTTTGACGCCAGCGAGGTGATCGTGTGTGAGAGCTCTTCAGAGGCCGAGGCTTCAGATGAGTCGGGCCTGAGTGACATCACCACCACCAGCAACTCTGAGCCTGACGAGGGGCACAGTGAGTGGTCATCTCTGCAGCAGACATTACCAGTGAAAGCACCGCAGAATGATCTGACCTTCTGCTCTCTCTCTCCTCAGCCACAGCCACCCTCAACTACAGGGCCAGTCTGAGCACCGCGGACAACCCCAGCCCAGTGCTCACTAATACTGGTAACTACTCCATTATTTGTTGTCTCCTGTGTGCTGCTGGGTAACCAAGCTAGGCTGTTTAGGACTGATTTAACATACAAGACGCTGCATCCCTCTGGCACAGTGAGAGGACAAGCTCAGCAGATTTAACTTGCACTGCATATGTTTTCTCATACTTGCATGATAAAAGCAAATCAATCCCTTAACCCAATCATGTCAAAAAGTACACATGTATGTACTATATGTACTCAAAATAAAATGATCAAGAAATACCCACAAAAAAAAAAAAAAAAGTTATTATAGACGTGTGTGTGTATATATGTATATGCACGTTTCTATAATAAGGCCGCTTTCCGTTTAAACGTGTTTTTAATATATCTGGCTTAAAGCAATAAATAAAGGAATGATGAAGTTTGTCATCAACTTACCCTAACTCTGCTTAGACTCATGGGACATGTGCCTTAAAGCCGTTGTTTCCAAAGTTTAATTTCTTACGACACATTTATGATTACATCATATATTATCTATACTAGTTCTGTGTATTGATGTCATGTTGTCCCACTGATGAGAAGCTCTTTAGTTGTGCTGACTTGTGTTTCTGTCATGCAGGCCGCCGCACGGTCCTCCCCGCCACAGGAGCAGGCAACAGCCACATCGGCATCATGAACATCCTGTACAACAACATTGGGAAGGACCTGTCCAGAATCTCCATGCCGGTGGCTCTCAACGAGCCGCTGTCTCTGCTGCAGAGACTCAGTGAAGAGCTGGAGTACTCGGAGCTGCTGGACATCGCCAACACCATCGATGATCCATACGAGAGGATGGTCAGTTCCTTTCTTAGATTCCTAAACTGCTGGAGGTGACATGCAGGTGAATACATGAAAAAAAAACAATGCTTGTCCACAGGTTTACGTGGCGGTGTTCTCCATCTCTGGATACGCCTGGGCGTCCTGGAGGAATCGCTATAAACCCTTCAACCCTGTTCTGGGAGAAACATACGAGAGTCACAGAGCAGACCGGGGCTTCAAATTCCTCAGTGAGCAGGTAACAGCAGAACAAAATACACACATACTACTCTAAGATCAATATCTGAGATCAGAACGCTCTGTAATGCATGTTGTGTTTTCAGGTCTGCCATCACCCGCCCCTCTCTGCCTGCCACGCAGAGTCAAAGAACTTCACTTTCTGGCAAGGTAGGAGCTTTGTGATCCAAGACAAGTACTGTACCGCCTGTGGTGTAAGGGTGGACTTCCATGTAACACTCTGTTGTCTCTCTCAGATCAAAGATGGAAGAACAAGTTCTGGGGGAAGTCTATGGAGGTCATCTCTTCTGGACTGGTCAATGTTTCCCTTCCCCGGTGAGCCACTGCCTCATTAACAGTCACACAACGCAGCCACACTGCTAACATAAATGTATACTAGTAAATATAAATGTGTTAGTAATCAAATATTGTTGCTCTCTTGTCTCTATAGTTTTAAAAAAAAAGAGACCCCAGAAGAAAACTGAGGGGTTTGAACAAAACTAAAGATTACCTAATAAATCCAGCTCATGTATTTTCTAATTCGACCAACAGTCATCTGTCATTTCTTTTCTGCACTCATTCTTCAATCAAAGGATAGTTTGTATCCCATTAATGCCAATAACTTAATCCCACACACTGGCCCTTTGTATGAATAAAGCATGTCCCAAAGTTGGATCAAGTACATTTTAACTCGTATTATGATGTTATTTTATATGTATATCTAACACAATTCCAGGTATTGTAATAGTTTTCAAAGTAAGAAAAAAAACGTTTCAGTGCTGTGATTATTGAAGAGCTTTAGGAGATTGTTTGATGGTCTGGACAGGTTTTATAATTCACTGTTTCCATCTGCAGGAGATTATCAGAGCTGTTCATCAACAAACACATTAATGTGTGTGTGTGTGTGTGTGTGTGTGTGTGTTTGTAGGTACGGTGATCACTATGAATGGAACAAGGTAGTGACATGTATACACAACGTGTTGAGTCAGGAGCGCTGGTTGGAGCACTACGGAGAGGTGGTCATCAAAAACACAAAGGACGACAGCTGCACCTGCAAAATCACCTTTGTCAAGGTCAACACTCTCATTCATTAAAGGGGACCTATCATGCAAAATACACTTTTGTACATCTTTTATACATGAATTGTGTCCCTAGTGTGTCAGGGAACTCACCAAGTGTCAGAAAACACAACCCTCTCTATTTTCCTTCATACCCAAATCTCTAAAAAAGGGGCTGCAACGGATCTGATAAAAACTGATCCAGATTTGAACACTTCTCTGACGTCAGTAAAGTGGCACTACGGCTATTGGTCAATTCTCCACCTATCGGGAATGTGGGGTTGGGCCACGGCCGGCCATTGCTGCTCGAAAGCGCTTGAGACGCTGTAGTACATATGCCAGGCCTGTAAGTGGCGCTGTAGTCTGCCACAAAAGCAGCGAAGAAGACTTCCCTTGCATGGTTGCCATGGTTGCCCTTCTGTTTATTCTCCGCTGTGGCTCTTTTTCTTCGTCCCCGAGGCAAGCGTTTGCGCCTCCTGATTTAAAACAAATGAATAATGACTCTATAATCATATGTAAGGGATAATGTGCAGTGGTCATTATGGGGAATAGAACACCGACAGGCTGATCAGGAGCCCGACATTATGCAATGTGCACATTATCCCGCTTATTACATGGCCACATTCTCGACAAAGTAACGATATGACTCCCAATATTAATTTAAATGCTATTATGGATTTAGAAAATTATTTTATTGATTTAAAAAAAATAGTTGTATTGATTTAAATTGACATGCATCCGCTATGAAAAAATCAGAATCAGAATCCCTTTATTAGTCCCACAGAGGGGAAATTTGCAGCGTTAGAGCAGGAAAGAGCCACAGACAGCTTAGTGTTGCATATCTTAAATGCGTTAAAAAAGTACTAGGTTATAATAAACAAACAAAACAATAATATGTTAAAAAAAGTACTAATTTATAATATACTAAACAATAAGCCAAAAAAAAAAGATAAAAACAAAAAAAGTTACATAATTTTCAAAAATACAGATCAAATCTACAAATCAAATCCTGTGGCAGTTCTTAGGATTTTTGCAGCCCGGTATATATTAGTTATTAAAGATGGCATATGTATATAAAGTATATATTGCACATATTGCACATAATATATACTTTGACGGTATTTAACAGCAGCAAGTTACACAATTTACAAAATACAAGATACATACCTTGTAACAGTAACAAGGGTTTAGCAGCCAGGTATAAATTACACAGTTATTAATGGCATATATATATTGATTGATTTAGTGACCAGGTATAAATTACAGTTATTAATGGCATATATATTGATTGATTTAGTGACCAGGTATAAATTACAGTTATTAATGGCATATATATATATATTGATTGATTTAGTGACCAGGTATAAATTACAGTTATTAATGGCATATATATATATTGATCGATTTAGTGACCAGGTATAAATTACAGTTATTAATGACATATATATATATATAGCACATATTGCACAAAGTTGGTTTGTATTTAGCAGCAAGGGGGTGTTATAGTCTGTGTTGTGGTGTGTGTGTAGGAGGGTCTACTAGGGGCAGTGCTGGTTGTAAAGTCTGACCGCTGCAGGAAGGAAGGACCTGCGGTATCTCTCCGTGTGACAAAAAAATAGTCCGTTGTTACTGTTTGAATCTTTGAATTAACGTAGCAACGGCAGGAACTGCTGCGATAGCGTTTTTGAGGAGCTTTTTGATTGCAGATTTGAAAACATCGTTGCTTGCTTTAAAAGT